TCAAATAGAAAAGGAACCTTCTAATCATTTTGGACTGGCGGACACATTTGGACACTGTGTTGTACAAGTTTTTGGCATATTTCTATAGGGCTTCATGATTCACAAAATGGCTGCCCATGGTGGGCATAGCACCAATTTAATTGAATGTTCCTTTGTGTAAGCAGATAGGCAGCTTTTTAATGTGGAATGGTTATTCGGGTGGATGCTAAAGGAGAAATATGCCAGCATGTTGATGTTCCTATGTGTCACACTGGAACTCTAACATAAAAATATTTGTATGGTTGGGAGAATTGAAAAGAAGAGGCTATACTTCTACTATAGGCAGAACAATATGTACTTTGGAGGAGAATCCCATCTTGCTAGCTGACATTATCGGATGTTTGATAGTTGAACAATGTTTATTATATAGTTTTGAGCAAGAGTAGCTTGAGACCTGAAGGTGTGCTTGAGAAATATGATGGCCTAAATTCTATGGCTATTTGTCCTCTATGATATGTCTTGCTCTTAGCTTTTTGTGGCAAGCGAGACAGCTATAACGTTTCATTAGCATAATCTGCAAGGAACTCCCAAGGCAAACACTTCTCTCCACCTGACGATTGCAGAATCCTATGGCTTCAGAAATGCCTTGCTGGATAGTTGAATATTGTACCTGAATTTATTTTGGATTAAGCCCATGGTTTTTATAAATATTATTGATACAGGTAGTCCTCAACTTATGACCACAATTGATTCCAAAATGTATTGTTGTAAAGTGAGAAAATTGGTAAGTAGGTTTTGCCCCATTTTACGATTTTTCTCCCCACATTTGTTCAGTGAATCTCTGCAATTCTTCAATTAGTAACACAGTTGTTAGGTGAATTTGGTTTTCCCACTGACATTGCTTGTCAGGAGGTCGCAAAAGGGGACTCCATAATTCCGGGACACTGCAACTGTCATAAATGTGAGTCAGTTGTCAAGCATCTGAATGTAAATCATGTGATCATGGGGATGCTGCAACATAAGTGTAAAAATCTGTCATAAGTCACTTTTTCAGTGCTGTTGTAACTTCAAACAGTCACTAAATGAACCGTTGTAAATTGAGGACTACCTGTATTTTGTCTTTGTATTTTACTTCCATTTTTGGCCTATGGAACACAGCTTCTGAACTGTTAAAAGGATTTAAAATAAATTATTAAGCTAAAAGCAAGCACATAATTATCAAGGCTTCCAAGTTTTATCTGTAGGACAAGGAGAAGGCTAGCCAGCATATTTTGCATAAAACATTTTCTTTTTGAAACTTGGGTAAAAAGCATTTGAAGAATATTTTCTGTATGGTAAAAATGTTACATACTCATATGGGTGGGTGCACATATGAAAGAATCTCTGCACTTAAAATTGTTCTTGCCACAAAATTTAAAAAAGAAAAACTAGCCAAAAGTATTTTTGCTTTCAGGATTTTCAGCAACCTTCTACGGCTCCAATACAAAGAAGTCGGTCTTTTAATTGTCTTTCAGCCCTCTCTGCCAATACACTTCCAATTTATATTACAGATGCAGTGAGAAAGAGGGCAGGTGCTATTAAGTAAGTAATAACATTTTATAAATACTATTGAAGAATATATATATTTATAGTAATATTTTAGAAACATTTTACCATAAAATAGCATAACCTTTCTTAGCTGCATCATAGCTTGACTTGGAATTGGAGAAAATAAGAAAAAGTAATTTGAATGCTGCCCAAGTAGCAATGCTATGGCTTACCCTGACTTCTTTCCCTTTGTTTCCTTAGTTCCAATCCAAATCATTATCTGATGGAGGTTATCTTTGAACGCATATTCTGTATTACATGAAAAAAAGGCTAGGAATTAAAGAATGATATCAAGCACATTACAGGGAGGCTTAAAAAGTTATTTTTAAAGGATTAACTCTAAGAAATTAACAGATTTTACTTCATTCTTTGTTTTTGTATACTTGTTATTTCATTTTGAAATAAATAAAGGTAGCCCTTGACTTACCACTGCAATTGGGATATTTCTGCTCGCGAAAGTAAGTTGAGGCACCCATTTGACTGGACCCTATTTTACAATAGGGCATTAAGCAAATTGTCATCATTATTAAGCAAATCCATGGCCGTTAGGTGAATGCAGTGGTCATGTGCAAACCTGTTCAGAATGGGCAGGTTTTTTGCTGGAGACCAGGAAAAAAAAAGTCAATTATGGTCAGATGACCACAGGACCTAGAACCAGTCATAAAGGCAAGACAATTGCCAAGTACCCAAAATGCAGCCATGTGACAGTGGCGTATATGTATGTGGGATACAACATTTATGATGGCCAGATTCTAAGCCTGTTGTAATTTTGAACAGTTGTTAAGTCAAGTTGTTATTCATATGTTCCATTGGCCATGTCTATATTCATAGACTCTTCCAAGAAAATAAGAAGTACAAGGAGAATGAAGGAGCTCGCTGGGCAGAGCTACAAAGAAAAAAATGTCAAGCAATACATAAATCAGTGATTTGTCGAGCAAAAGCTATGGACCCACATAAAAGTTTGAAAGAGACACACAAAGAAAAACTGAAGCAAAATTGGTCAGTATTGTAAATTTACCAAGTAATACTGAGAGCAAAATATTTAAATATAGATTACTTAATACTGTTTATGTGTTTATATGTCTGTATACATGTTTTTATTTAGATGGATTGGCTTTCAATTGTGCCCAAAATGTAGCAATCATACAGGAATTATTATACTTTATTTACTTGTATTTACAGGCTGCTTTGCACAATTCCCAATTCAAAAACTGCATGCAAACAAATAAAAGATAGTAGAATTACACTGTATTAGAACAATATTAACTTACAAGATTAGACTAAAAAGATTTGTTAACTCCTTGACAAATAGAGACCAATTTTATTTTAGAAGGCAAAAAGTATCCTATATTTTGGAAATTATGCAGAACAAAGCTTTTTTTTAATATATGAACAATAATTCAGATTATTTCAGGAAGTAAATTTAATTCTTGTTTCAGGCAAAATGGCCAAAAAAGAACAAGAGAATATAAGAAAGAACTAGAAGAGATGAAGATGCGCGTGAAGAACAGACCTTACCTATTTGAACAAGTCACAACAGTAAATGTTTTGCAATTGAGGAGTTTTTAAGTTACCTCAAATCTATTATTTAAAATGTACTTTCTAAATGTGTACCTGTCTTATTTTAGAGAGTTTAAGAATTTTAATTAATTTTTAATTTATTTGTAAAATAAATTAAGTGTTTCTAAGAACTCTCTTTTTATTCCAAAGCATAGTGCCTGTCAAGGAGCACAGAAGCTTTTTAAAGATACCTTGCAGCAATTTGGATTGAATGAAGAGTTTGTGAGAAAGAAGGGGAGAGAAGCCACTGATACAGTAGAAAAGCAACAGGAGTTTGAATCAAAAAGGTATGAAAGGAAACAGTATGTCTATAGTAAAAAAATATGTAGTAAGGTTGATGCCACCAAAAGGCTAATGATTGTAGTAAAAGCCATGATTCAGAGACCCATATTCTACTGAGACAGTTTCATCCACTAGTTCTGCCTGTGGTTTATGAAATCAGATATTCCATAGATCTTTCAAGGTATATTCAACCCTCTTATCTCTTCAACGGGTCTGCAAAATTGATAGGCTACATTGACATAACCATTTACCTTTCTATTTTTTGCAAATAGATATGGAAATAAGGAAAATAACAAGAGAACTTAAATGGCAACTGTCTCACTCCTATCTTGCCAGCAATAAAACAATAAACTTCATAAATTAGCAATTCCTCCTGCATAACATTTGGTGATCTTAGAACTACCCCATAAACACTTGATATAATTTTCTTCCCTATCATAAACCTCTCTGTCTGACTTTAGATAAAATGAGAGAGTGACTAAGTCACAAACTGTTGAAAGGATAATATGGAAAAACTATGCTACCCTGACTTCTTAGAAAGGATTCATATGTGCTAATTTTGTTAGTAGGATGATCACCTTAGTGCTTTTACTGACAATAATGTAATGAATGCTTTTAATCAACAGAAATCACAAATTCCAGAGCAATACTGAGGCTGACATCATAAAACAGCTATCCCAAGAGGGACTAAAAAGATTGGAATTAAAGTAGAAATAACTGATAAGTCTCCATTTGCTTTCAGCATATTCTTTTCTTTAATGAAGGACTAGATTTCTGCATAACTGAAGATAAATTGTATATTTTAATTATATGTGTGTGTGTGTTAAGTTTTCGTGGGAATTTACATGTATGGTATTCAGCTTTGTTTGGGTATTTATGTGTGTGTGTGTGTGTGTGTGTGTGTGTGCACGCGCACACACACACACACACACACATATACATATTAGAATACGTGACTTTGATGTATTCTAGTTAGCAATATGACTTGAAGTATTTAAATTTGGATAATGCTAGATTTTTGAGATCTTGCTTAAATGAAGATTGCCCAAGAGGGTAAAAAGAGTTGTATATAATCAGTCATCCCAATCAGTTTGAACCAGAGAACACATTTGAAAGTTAGACACATTTAAAATTGCTACCATTGATAAGTAAGGCTAGTCACAAAATGCTCATTTCCTACAAGCCAACTGATGTCTAACAACCTAAATAACAATGATTCCTAACAGTAATCTTTATCATGCATAGACAACTGGGAAAAATGAGCCTTCCAGAAAATATTACCTTATTTCTTCTAGGAAGAAAAGTAGAAAAACATTAGGAACTCTAGGAAGAAGTAGAAAAACTTTCTCAATTTTTTTTAGAATTACAATGAGTTCACCTGCTTTCAACCAAAAGACCTAGATGCAATCTAAAATTTGCAGTTAATTTAACATGAAGACAAAAATTGCTTAATGCACTGTAGAGTCAAAGGCTTTAGTATCAAGACAGAAGACCTCAATGTAAAATCTTTTTCAAAGTAGTCTTACGCACTTGAGCTTTAGCCAAGAACACTGGACTAAACAATCGTACCGCATCCCACTTTTTCCCCTCTCAAGTATATTATTGAGGCACATAAAGTCTTGAATAAGAATTTAGGGACCACTGCATGCTTCTCTTAAATGCTGTTTCTTTTTGAGTCAGTGTATTCATTTCAAATTAATTTTAATGTTCCACTAGTGTCCGGACTAGTTTAACAGCAAAGTAACATAATTCAAGTTCCATTCTTTATTTGCTTACACCATGTATATTCTTGCTAAACTCTTACTACCCTACCCTAATGGCTATACCATGGGAGATATTAGGGAGTAGCTATCCTAAACTATTTTCTCTTCCCAGGAGTCAGCTCTGAACTGGGCTGATTCTTGCCTCACCACCCACTCATTCTTCTTTGAATGTGTGCCTTTCTTCCTGGAAACTGCTGTTATAGTTCGTCACAGTTAGTGTTTTATACTGCATATAACTTGTGTTTTTAAAGCTGTTACTCATTCTGAACTTCTGTGTAATATAAAGTGTATTTCAAAAGCCATCAAATAAATACACATGCAACCATGTCGCGAATGGAAATATGTAGTTTATTTACAACAGAATGTCACTGAATAATTTCTACCTTTGATTTTTTTTAAAAAAAAAATCTATTAAGCCTAATAGTTAGAAATTAAAATATCACAGCAAGAAGCAAGTGTGACCAATACTCTGAATAGTATGAGATCTTCAGTTTGGACCAAAAGCAATGTTAGTGAACATATCCGCACAAAGCATGGGAAGGCAAAAATTTCCGATGAAAGAGTACCACCAACTGCCCCTATAAATAAGCAAAACCAGAACTGCCACACTCTGGTGCAGAATTTATTACTACTTAAAATATATTTCTCCAAGAACAAGCCAATATAATGTTGAGCTTATGGTCACTTCAAAAAAAGAGAAAAAAAATCTGGCTTCAAACCAGGTACAAGAACATTATCTCCTGGCTTTTGGACACCAGGTTAAATATTAACTCCATAATTAATAGCTGCTGTTCCATCCTCTCTTAGAAAACAAAGTTTTTTTCACTGACTGAAGCAAAACCATAGTCCAGGCCTCTGCTCCAACATGTCGTAAGAAGTAGACTGGAGATACTGCAGATTCCAGGAATTTCATCAGAAAGCCTGTTCATCTAGTATATATTCAGTGTCACAGATTCGCTGTTCTTCTATAACTATAAAATAAATGCATTCATTTTACTTCTTAGTACTTGTAGCACAGACTTCTAAAGAATGAAGTAGTTCATTCTTTAGTTCAGTTCAAATAATACTGAATCATTTTATCTCAGTTTTAAAATTATACAATTTCACCAATATAGAAAATATGAAACAATAGGATTAGTCAATCCATGCAACATTTCTTGTTACCCAAGATCAGGATTTTCCAAAGTAGTCAATATTGACCCCCAAGAATTGATGGGGCTACCCACTGTTGCTGTTACTAATTATTTGTAATATTATTAGTTATTCATAGTACTATGAAAGTAGTACTTATTATTTTCATATAATGAACGTTTGGGATTGATGAACAATCTGAAATTTCATGAAGAGGTTGATAACCTGAAGAATTTGGGACCCCTGCCCAAAACGAATGTTTGTAAGTTGAGATCATCAGATGCCACGTTCTTCTCAGCGCTTTGCACTTCTCCCTGCAGCAGACTTTACTATGCATTTATCTTCTAAATAAACACTGAAAACCAGTCTTCAGCCAAATTCTCTATCCAAATTTAGAAACTGAGCAAAAATGACTTTATCTAACATATTAAGTTGTATTAACAATTTTCTGAACAATCTGAGGGGAAAAAAATCAGACTTTTTAAAATATATATATTCTTTTGCCTTCATTTAAGTAAGTTTATAATGCTGACTCAAAACCACTTTGGGTGGTGCATATTTTAAACCTAAAGCCATCCGAGCATAACCCACCTGAAATTAGAGGCCCATTCAACGTTGAAAGGAAAAGAATAGTTGCTAATGCATCTTGTAAATACTAGTTATTATATAGATCAGATTACCAAATTAATTGTCCATCTTTAATGTAATGGTGAAAAGGAACGTTGTAATCCTCCAATAAAATTTAAAGTAAATATCTTAAGATAAATATAAGAATTGTTATTAAACTGAACCTATCAAATTCTTCAGTGAAATTATATCATATTTAGCAATGATGCATTGAACTTACCATGAGGATCCTTCTACAGTGAGGACAGAGCATTCTAAAGTGGTATCTCTTCCCACTCTTTCAGAAATGGGGCTAGAAAATTCCAATGTCAGTTCTTGGGGGGAGCGGGTGGAATAAAAAAGATCCCTTCCCCAGTTCAGAATACCAAGCCAGAAAGGGATTCCACAAAATACTTGACAAATTAATACAGGAAAGTTATATAAGACTCCATATAGAATGCAAATGTTGACTACCTTTTTTCTTAGTGAACTGAACACTATGCCTTATGATAAGGACATTCTCGTAAGTCTGGTGTGGATTTCCCCACAGTAAAATCAGCATATTCTAAAGTGGAATACTGTATATCAAAGCTGTCACTGGGGATATGATCATGTCAGTCTTTGCTAAGAATTATTTCCTTTAGTACCTTCCTGAAGACTGCTTTACTGAGGTATAAGAGTTACAGGTAGTCCTCGACTTATGACAGTTCAGCCCAAAATTTGTTGCTATGTGAGACATTTGCAAAGTAAATATTGCCCCATTTTATGACCTTTCTTGCAACAGTTGTTAAGTGAATTACTGCTGTTGTTAAATTAGTAACATGATTTTTAAGTGAATCTGGCTTCCCCATTGGCTTTGCTTGTCAGAAGGACCAAAAGGGATCACATGACCTCAGGACACTGCAACCATCATAAATATGAGTCAGCTGCCAAATGTCTGAATTTTGTTTGTGACCATGGTGATGCTGCAACAGTCATAAGTGTGGAAAACGCTCACGAGTCACTTGTTTCAGTGCCATTGTAACTTTGAACAGTCACTAAATGAATTCTAAGTTGAGGACTACCTATATAAAAGATAAAGAAAATACTGCAACTCTATAGATGTCTTCCAGGTAGCCTTTACTATCAAGGGCAGTCAAGGTAGTTGCAGTTCTAATGAAATGAGAGTCAATGTGTCTTATTTATTCATATATATGTGTGTGTGTGTGCGCGCACGTCTGTGCGCACCCACCAGATGAAGAGTATCATTGTTTATTAAGCCCAATTCCTTGAGTCTACAACATGGTATGGTTGTCCCTTTCTCCCTGATCAGTCAATGGTGACTGGCTTTGCAGGTCATTTAGACAGAGGTTCACAGGGCATTTTTTTCTTAAGATACTATATCATGGATTTAAAAGATAATTTTTAATTTGGTGATTCATTTGTTTGCGGTCCAGGATAATGTGCCATCGTTTTTCATTGGAATAATGAAAAATATGGTACAAGAATGGATGAATGTAGGACTTGTTCAATGCATGGTTGGAACTAGTTTCTGGATTTCAGTGCCAGCTAATGTTTGGTTGTTGAAAAATTGGGTAAAATAATTACATGGAGGCTGATAAATTTGATTATCAGACAGGATTGTGTTTTTATCCTTAATCTCAATGAACAACATTATCTAGGGAGTTTCTGAATAGCTTGTTATACTTGAACGGGTCATATATAACAGATTTGGAGACAAAAAGTCATTTTGTGTACCCATATTGGCAACCAGGTTTCTGGCTAAGAATTGACCACTGTCCAAATTCACATCAGCCATGAAAGCAATTGCCTTGGCTAATTTGTTCAGATCCTGTTTGAGCTACCTATGCTCTATAAGTATGAACTCAAATGGCAGTTTTATCCAGCCGATGACAAATGACAAAAACAAAAAATGAGGAAGGCCTTGCGGCTAAACTGTTGCCTCATGTTTTCTGTGCTACACTTTCCTGTCCTCTTGCTGTTTGAAGGGGTCCTTATCTTTAGCGTATCAGTTCTGCTATGGAGCTGCATGAGGGAAAGTACAGAGTTTGGTGGCCAAAGAGAATTTTATTTTTCCTGCATCCTCTCCACTTCCCACGGATTTTGTTGAATACTTCAGGGAAGGGAAGTCTGGGGAAGGCCACTAGCCACAGTGTATGATATTAAAAGGGGTGTAGTAACCAATGGTAAAAAACTCAACGATGATTGCATGTGTGTGCACGCACACATACATGCACAAGTCCAAGGCAGAAATATAATTCAAGGAAGTGTCTCAAGCTTGGCCCTCCCTAGTTACCTTATAAATAAATGGAGGAGGGAGCATGAGCATTCAGACTCACAAGATTCTGTTACTATAGCCTTATAATAAAAGTAATATTAGTATTCATAACTTGTTTTCAAATCTGGTCTAGCTTGAAGAGGTTCCTGACACATAGAACTTGGCCACCAGTAGATCCACCAGAGGATCAACGGGAATGGACTGCTTTGGACTTTTAGGTCTAGGGTCCTGAAGAATTAACTGAGTAGTAGATTTTTGCAATAGACTCAGGGACCGGCTACTGTCCTCTTCCTTATATCCAGGGACAGATCTGCTTCTCTTTTCTCACTAGGTCTGAAAGGAAACATTCAGGTCAGAAATGGCATTATGGAGGACTTCCAATTAATGACTCGCCTTTTCTGCCTACAAAAGTAGCCTGGTACTTGTCCCTGAAGTAGGCAGGAGATAGCTCCACCAAAGGAGTGGAGATGCTCTTTCTTTCCTCCAGTGTGCATCTCCGGCCGTGGGGTGAGGAAACTCTCCAGAATGGAGCTTCTTGCCATTTCTGTTCTTCCTAGATGTGAGATCTTGGGTATGTCAGTCTGCGCCACAGAAGCCATGGATTTCCCAGGATTCTCTGAGGATCAAAAATCATTGGGTCTTTGAAAAGGGACACTGCTTGGCAAAGTTAGTTTTAATTATGTGTTCCCATTTGGGAAGACCTGTTATATACTCCAGTGCCTATTCTTCAGCTTCCCAAAGGATGTGCCAGCTATTAAAAGTGGGTTGTCCATGGCCACCAATTCAAGAGCAGGGATATTGCCCTTCTCAGAGAATCATGATGGGAAGGCAGATATATGTCACTCAGATGTATACTTAGAAATTAAGTCCCACTCAGAAAAATCCTAGGAAATGTATTTATATATTTATTTGATTTCTATAGCCATCCATATCTGCAGATGACTCTAGGAGATTCACAATTCATTCCTATTGCTTAGCTCAGCACTCCTGAAGCAAACTGAAAAGGAAAACAAATAGTAAACAAAGGAAATAATAGAAATCACTGGCTGAGGTCATCTTTGCCACAAGGACAACAGATGAAAAATGTAGGCATGAATGCTTTTTGAAGCAAGAAAAGCTGGAACTGGAAAAGAGAATTCTCTTGTCCCACAGGAACTGAAATTAGGTTTTTTTCCCCCCTAACTTTATCTTCTGAGCAAAGTGAGAAGGATATGTGCACTTTACAATGGCCTGGTTCCCCAGTAGAAAAACATGCAAATTTCTTACCTTCAATCACAGGAGGAGCAAATGTTTTCTGAAATTAAAGAGACTAGCACTACGTTTTTCAAAACAAAAACCTTCAGACCTAAGAATTTATTGTAGTAAGGATGATACACCGTAAGAGTGCCTTGATGTTGACATGGGCATCAGGTGATGAGATGGCAAAACCACATCAGATACGTCATGGAGAGAATTTACTGCTGCTTCAGTTAAAACCTCTATAAATCAAGCAGAAAAATAAATGATACTTTAAAAAATTCTCAATCTACAGGTACAGCGTGTACCATGTAAATGCAGTAAAAGAAATTTAGAAAAAAAATTGTACGAGAGTTCCATTAAAAAAGGAATACTATACGGGCAATGTTTTGCAAGATTTCAATGATCTCTTATGCAACATCATATACAATACATAACAATAGTCATATGCCTGAAATTTTTTTTTGGGGGGGGACCAGTGGTAAGGTGTTCTGAATTTGGGGTAGACACTGGCTATTTTTCTGTCATGGACAGACTCCTAGGTGGATTTGGAATTCTTTGACATCACCACCCACCACAAGGAGGAGGGACTTATTGTACTGATCATCTCCAGGCAACTAATGGAGTCAAATGGATTTCAGAAAGAACTATGCTCTGAAGGGTTAGGGTTCTCCTGGGACTTGGAATCTTATCATACCGCAGCAGCCTTTCTTCCCCTGTGGATCCCAGAACTCTCCTGCTTTGTGGATCAGCTTAATGAGATGAAGCAGGAGAAGAGATACTTCTAGCAGACAAGGAGCCAATCTAACCAAACATGGATTAGATCCATTGTTTCAGCCAACCTTATGGTGGTAAGGGTAGCAACATATAAAATACTTCTTGACCCTTATTACATCTGCAGATAGGTCTCCAGCAGCCTTGTTTTGAGTGATTCAGACTCTTCTAAGAGGGTTTAACTAAGAGGTTCAACACAAGGTTGTTGTGAGGAATATGCCAGATAAAACTGCGCTCTGTTGGACTCCAGGTGGAAGCAGGGCCAGTGGGGCTGAGTCTTGCGTGGTTATCTGGGAAAAATAGGATCCTGTTAAGCCCTGAGGAAGTGGACAAGGTTCTGACAGCTGTCAGTTCAGCTACTTCTGAGTTAGACTTACGCCCTTCCTGGTTAATTAAGGCAGCATGGAAGAGGATGTGTGATTGGATTTGGGCAACAGTTAATTCCTCCTTCACACTAGCTCTTGAGGTGGTGGTGCCCCTCTTCTCAAGGGGCCATTGCTTTAACCCAACTAGTCTGGAAAATTTTCATCCAGTGTCCAATTTTTCCTTGTTAGGGAAGGCTATAGAGAAGGTGATCATACTGCAGCTTCAGAAGGCTCAAGAAGAAACAGATTTTCTGGACCCTTTTTAGTAGGAATAAAAGTCAGGGTATGATACTGAGAAAGCCACTGATCATACCCCTGGTTGTTTCTCTCTATCCTGTCTGATCCAGCAGGATGGGAATGCTTGTCTGTAGAATCTCAGCTGGCGAGGCTCAAAACACTTGATTTTTTTGCTGTAACGCCTGCCATCTGAAACATTGTCCTTCTGGAGATCAGGTTTATCCCAACTCTGCTGGTCTTCAATAAGGTCCTCTCTGCTCAGGCCCTGGGAGCCTGTCTGCTGATATGAAATGACTACTGTTCTTCTCAGCTACTCTGCATTTTAATCTTTCATATGTGTCTGCTTTTATTTTTAATCACTGTTCACCGCCTAGAATCGTTGAATAATAACTAAACATCCCTCCTACCACATGTCTTTTATCTCAACATTTTTGCCTGAAATCATGTAAGATCTCTTGCAAGAACACCAAAGTGTCCCAGGATTTCAGCCACATGAAATAATGACTGGATATAAGGATTCCACTGATGCATTTGGCATCAGTGTTAGAACTGTTATGTTGCCACTGCATAACATACAGCAATAAATAAATAAACAAACAAACAGACCCTAATCCAATAGTGCTTTTCATTATTGTAGTGGACAAAATTTCATATTAAAAAATACATTAAAACATGTTTTGGTAAAGGACAAATCCTTTTTTCAACATTCTTCATATAGCTTATCTTAGGCTAAAGAAAGCTAACATTTTATGTACAATTATGCTTTCTGACAATTAGATTACAATTTAATAATAAATTTAATAATTAAGCAGCAGCAACTTGTGCTTGGAACTATCAAGTATTTCCAGTTTATGTCCCAACTCACAAGGTCACATTAAACAATCTATAAAGTGCATTAATATCAACCAGACCAGGCAAAAAATGAATTGCCGAAGAATTCACAAGCTCATACTTCAGTCCTATGGATTGTAAGATACTACAGAATATGAAATGATCATCCCAAATAAAGCACCCAGCCTTAAGATGAGACGTCTGCTTTCAAGGTACAGACTACATTTATCATGCTTCTTTTCTTGTCAGATTCTCAAAAGGACATGGAATAAATTTGGCAGCTCAAAATTATTCCACTATCACTACACAATTATCAAGGAAGTTTTAAAATCCACCCCTTCTTGCATTATGGTTAATCTTTCTGTGCTATATTTGCCTGTATTCCATGTAACTCCATTAAATTATGTTATACATTAAAAACACAAGACTATCTATTTTCATCTTTGATTTCATTTTATACACAGCTTCCTTTAGATTAGACAAACATTTTCTCACCTTCTTTTACACCAATCATTGATTCTGGATCTGGCAAATGCAAAGATTCAACAAGGCTAGACGGAGAGTTCATTGACACCAGGCTCTTACTGTCCAATTCAGATTCTTCCAACAAACTACTGCCCATGAGTGATTCTGGGTTTTAAAAAAAAAAGCCATCACCTGATTAATTTACTGTGGTCTGCAATATTATTTAAGAGCCCAGAAAAGAGGATTATACCGTATTATTGCTCACGAGATTTTCTCTGTGAAGGATAGAGGATGAGGGGGTAGTAGCAACAGGTAAATGTTGATGTGTGCATAATTCAGTTCAGTTTTATAAGGAGACTATAAGATTAGTGTTTTTCAAAGATGTGTAAAACAGAAACTTTGTTTTCACAAATTAAATTTCAAAGCCATAAAATTTCAATACTTGATATTCAATACATTTTACTTTCATTAAAAAAATCTATCCATTTTTGCAATCCATAACTACTCCGATGTCATTTGTTTGAATGTTGTTTAAGCCATTAAAAAGACATGCCATGGAAGGATAATGCCATGTACTCAAATACAAGAACATCTATGTTTCAGCAGAAAAATAACTTTTATCAACATACTCAGTTCAGTACATGTTCAATGAAATATTGTGCCAAAATGATCCATTCTTCTGCAAACATGACTGATTAAGGTAATCATGCCAGAAGGAAACAGGACTGGACATACATTCTAAACCAATGACACTGCATCTGGAATAGAATGCTGAGAGGGTATAGGTAGTCTTCATTTAACCAGCTTTTGAATTACCAACAGCCTCAGAAGGCTGCTTTAGGGCCTGCAAAGTACTTCTGACTGTTTTGAAAAATTGCATACACCCCCATCGTCAGCTGATTGCGATGTGTTTCACTTGTGACCAGTTGCCATGCACCCTGCAATCATATGATTGCCATTTGCAATCTTCTCTGCCAGCTTCACCAGAAAAGTCAATGGAGAAGCAAGGAGACAAGGATTTTAGCAAGGATCCCTACCTCTCTATGCCTGTACACAGATTTTAGCGCACATTAAAAGCTCCCTGCCCCTCGGAATTTCCGGTTTGTCGGCTTTGCGAGCGGTAGGGATTCGCGAAGCTGCGCTATCCCTGCCGCGCTAGCCGCTTTTGGGGCTCCGATCCGAAAGGCTGAGGAGCAAGGCTGCCCTGCAGGGGCAGCTGAAGGCAGGGGGATCCGGAAAAGGGTTTGGGGGTGTTGCAGACCCCCTCCCTGGCCGGCAGAACCCCCTTTTACCAAGACGGCATAGCGGCGGTCCGTAATGGCCGCCACAAAGAAGCCGGCAGCTGGGCAAGTATGCGCAGGAGGAAGAGGAGAAAGTTTTTAAAAAGTGAAAGTCTTCTTGGCTGACCCAGGACTCTAAGATATATTTAATTTAATTCCTGAAAATGATGGCTTTTTGGATGATTCTTTCCACAAGAGGAAATAAGCGGCAATTCTGAGGTGCTGAAAGGAAAGTTTACTCTCCCTCCCGACGGAATTAACAAACGGATATTGAGAAACCTGTTTTTTTTTCAGGTTAAACTAGCTTTATGGGACAAGTCGGAAGGGAGAGGACAAAAAATATATTTATCTGGTTGGATTTTGTTGGAGGAGATGCCTTAAGGATTTGGAGACAGAAATAAAATTTTAATAAGGCTTCAAAACACAGATTTGGATTTTCTTTTTCCTTTGTCTGATACTACCCCTGGAAGAGAAAGAGGAAATTTTGGCTTGGCTTGGATTGATTGAGGATTGTGGACTTTGGGATTGTCTTATTTTTCTTTTGGAATATTTTGGTTGGAGTGAGAAGAAAGAGGGAAAAAAGAAAAGAAATGATTTATAATGGCTTTCTCCTTTGAGGAACTGAGGGATGAATATGAGCAAACAAAAGCAGCCTGTAAAGATGGTATGGAAAAAGCTTTTCTATTTTTAGAAATGGCGCTGGTTAACTATCAACAGACAATGCGACAGATGGAACAACAACAAGAAGAAGACGAAGACACCATCTTTAATGAATCCCAAAATTTATCTAAGAAAGAAGGAAGGAAGAAAGCGAGGAAAATGGAGGACTTAAGATCTAAAAAAACATTTAAGAAAGAGAAAAATATGATGCAAAATAAATACAATGATAACAAACAAGAGAAAAAGGGAATACAACAGAGAAGGGATGCCAGCAAGACAGAGGTTAGAAGAAGGGGGGGTAGGAAGATCTGGTGGGGGAAGAAAGAAAGGGGAAAGGCGGAGAAAAGCCACAAAGTTTTAAAATTGGATGGGAAAAGAGGAATCTTTTTTAGGGATAAAGGGTGAAGTATAAATTTTCTTAAAAAAGATTTTGCAAGGTACATAAGACGGTATTGTAATATTTGTATTAGAAATAGAAAATTAGAATGGCTTAAGAGTTAATAAAAAATTAAAATGTTGAAATGTTTAATAATGATTGATTTTTAAAACGTAATAAAATATTGAAGGGAAAGGCAATGAGAATGCTATAAGATTTATTATTTAGATTTATTATTCAACTACGTATTTAGGAGGATACTATGTATTTAAACATTTTCGATTTATTACTCTGTTTTTATTGTTATTACAAGTAAAAATTAATAGATAGAATGTACCAAGCAGAATCAGATTGGGTATTAGGTGTTATTTTAAATGTTAATCTAATATTTAGGGAAAGGATAGAAAGGCATCATACTCTGATTAGAGATTTCAGGAGAAATTCTTTTTTTTTTCATTATAAGGAATGAGATAGTGGGATAATAAAGGATGGGCAAAAGATACAAATATAATGATTTAAATTAAGATGGATTGAATAAGATAGAATTATGAAGAGTGAAATGTGTGGAGAAGTATATATAGAAGATACAAGATGAGCATGAATATAATTAAAGCCCATATAAAGAGAGGTACTGGGGGCCAAGTTACTTTACTAAAAGATTTTTTATATGTTTGTTTGTGTCTGTTTATGTTTTTGAGAAGTATTGGTGAAACCTTCTAGAAACACAGAAAGAGAATGACGATAATCAAGTCAGAAAGAAATAGAGGACAAGAGATGTTTTTATGCTTATTTAGAAATGGTTTAAAATAGAACTGTATTGTATAAGATAAGGTTTATCTGACTTGTAAAATTTATAATGGAAAAAGGTTCAAATATGTAATGGTTGATGATTTGTTTGTTTTTGAAATTAATAAAACTTGTTTAAAAAAAAAAAAAAAAGCTCCCTGCCTCTCCTTAACTGTGCAGTTTCAGTGTGCTAAAATCCTGGCCTCTCTGTGCTTTATCTGCCTCTCCCTAACTGTACCTCCACAGGCATAGTGAAGCAAGGACACAAGAATTTATCTCCATGCATTTGCTTAATGACCCAACTGTAGACTTTTAGGATCGTGTTAAGCAAGGCCGTCACGATATGTTGATTTGCTCAATGACTGAAATGCCAGTCCCAATTATGGTGATTAAGTGAGAACTACCAGTATGAGAAATGAGGCCCAGCAACCAAGAACCAAGTTGCTTTTGATAGAAGGTACACAAGTGGAAAAAGGACACGTATGCAAACATAACATTTCCTAAGAAGAAACAACATGCTATAGTATCTTTTCCAAGAAGATAAGTAAATAATGTAATGATATCCAGATTTAGATTAACTAAAATTGTGGATCAATGTATTATTCTGCTTAGTAATATAAAAGATTTGGGGAGGTACTGCAGTGTGGGCCTAGGCTTCTGCCAGGCCTCCCACACCTCAAGGCAGCCTGCGTTCCAAATGATCTACCACAAAGGATCATTTAAAGGAAGTGATCATGTGGACACCTAGTTTACCAACTGCCATGAATTACAACCATAATTCTGGGCTCTGTCATAAGTTGAGGGCTACCTGCAACTGTAACTGATAGAACCTCTCTGTTTACCTTATTCAGGTGACAGTATTAATCCACTAGAAATATCTCAAAATACTTCAGGCTAGGGTTAAGTACTAAAGGGGTAATTACACTACAACTTCCTGCCCAGCCCAGCCCTAATTTATTTACTGTAGGAAATGACCAGGCTGAGTCAGAAGGTGAGGTCAAACATATCATCAGTCTGGAGTCCCTACACCCCTGGAAAGACCTAAGTCCAGCCTCCTACTTGAAGTCCCTTCACGCTTATTTGGCATCAATTTGCTTTAACTGTTAATAGATCAGATTCTTGTGTATAGTTTGCATGGAATAAAATGCTTTTGAACTCTATCCTACCACTTTAATTAATTAATTATACCATTTATAGAGCTACTTGTCTCACAACAATGACTCTGGATAGCATAAAAAATTAAAACCCACTATAAGTATATAAATCTGTAATACCCTAGTTAAAGCAGTAAGCACCAAGACATAAAGCCACAAAACTCACCTAACTTCCTAGCCAAATGCTCAAGGGGGTTAGCTGTCATCAATCCATTGATCCTGGTATTTCTATGGATTCAATCTCTTACCAACATTTGGGGAACTCGTGTTAGGTTTTTCTATTTCAGTCCTTACCTGTTTGCTCATGCTGCCTATTGCTAATTGTTTCAACCCTCGAATGATGTTTCTTCATGTGTACATTTCTACTACCACTCTGGGAAAATGTCTTCCCACAAATTTGACATTGATGTGGCTTTAGTCCTGGAACAAGGCAGAAAAAACATGTAAAACAGAAAGTTAAATATTTATTATGGGTCAAATAGATTGATATCGGTAAAATTCAGTCAATATAAAGTATTAACTCTAAAAATGCTGTCAAGTTCAAAGCATTGTTTTGCAAGAAAATGTTCATAATTTGAAGTTGTGAATCTGTATGATCTGTGATCTTTAATCTACCAAACGTGGGTCTGGACTAGAGACTTTACATGCTTGAAGATTGAGTGAGATATAATATGAATAGGCTAGAATTTTTTTTAAAAAAAAGGAGAGACCCTTGGAATAGGACCTCAAAATTATATAGCTATCTCCAATAAATACTCTCTGCTCTGTGAATTTCATCTGAAGAAATAAAATGTCCTTACCTGAATGGACAACTAGGTGTTTCCGAAGGCTGGAATATTCAGCAAAGGAACGACCACAGCCCTGGGCCTCACATAAAAAAGGCTTTTCCCCTGTGTTATATCAAATTATAATTAGGTTATTTGCTTCATTTTTTAAAAGACCATGTAAATGGAAAACAGCAATTTACTTTGTATGGATTTTGTTACTATAGTATTTGTACCATCTGTGATATTTTTTATTACCAAGATCTCTACAATATACACAATGTTCAATTTTTAATTCTTGGTATATTCTTTAATGGAATCCCATAATCATTCATGTAATCAATTCAGAATGCCTACACAAAAAAAACTTGGTATGCACAGTAAGATATGTTATGACCACATTACTCTCATCTTCAAAATAGTGTAATGTACTGCATGTTTCTCAATAAAGAATTCCTAGGTTGTTTTTAAAATGTCTCATTTTCACAGTAATTCCTCTTCTGATTAATTCACTCTCCCACTCACATATTACAGCTTATCATTGCAAACATTCTTATCTTTTCTGATCTACATTATTTCTCACACAAATAACCAGTAATGGGTTCTCTCTCTTACAGTGAGATATTTTGTTTTATATCATAGGTTCCTTACAACCAGAAATAAGTTTTTGAATCTTGCCAGCGAATCTTCTACATTTGCCCACAAAATGCTTCTGTCTTTCTTCTAAGTTTAAAACCACCTTCTCCAGCAAAGTTTCCTCCACTATGGTCTATTTCATCTAAAGATATCCGTTACAAAGCCCATTGTTGCCAGGATCATCTTGCAATTTGATTATTAGCTTTTTTCTGTGAATCTATTTTTAAATCCGCTTAAACATTCTATGGGACTGAAAAGAAGAGCCATGTTTACTGATGAGAATATATATCTAAACTTTTATAGCACCTCATGAAAGATGGTCATATTCATGAAGGAAAAATATTTTTCCAAAATAGATTGAAAAAACATACCAGTGTGAATTCGCAGATGATTCTTCAGATTCCCAGCTGTTGTGAATTGCTTTCCACAGCCTTGTTCAGAGCAAATAAATGGTTTCTCACCATTATGTGTTCTCATGTGCACCTTCAATCTTTGTAAGACATAAAAACTTTTTCCACAATCTTTTGCTGGACATGTGTAGGAGCGATCATTCCTAGGAAACAGTATTACTCTCACTAATTAATGTAAAAAAAAAAACAACCAAAATCACAAAGACATTTTTTATTTAAAATATGTCACATTTTTATCAAAAAGTTTAAGTTAAAAACAGTCAAAGTTAATGGAAAGTAAAGAAGAAATTGTGACAGAAGGAAAGAATATTTTATTTATTATATTAAAACTCCCAATACTTTTTGAGGGAATATCTCAAGAGATTAAAAACAATTAAGTAATGTATTCACAATATATGAAATAAGTCATAACTTCCTGTTGACAATGTTATTTCAATTGCTTTTCTAGTCCTTTGAGAAAGGGGACCAGAATCCCTTGAAATGTATTCACTTTTGCTATGTTAAAAGACATTTTCTGTTACCAATTGCTTGTCTTTCCACTTGTTTGGCTGATGTGTTTCCTTTTGGGCATATATATAATAAAAGCAATGCTAGTCTTATTCAGGCCAATGAATTATAAATCAAAGCAGCTGCCGGTTCTTTCAAACCTAAGCTAATATTTAAACAAATGCTCTGGATGAGCTTACAAAATAGAGATTAGCTCTCTTACTTTGACCAACTCTCCCCAAATTTAAAATGATTTTTTAAATTTTGTGTGTGTGTAACCCTGACAAACTTCAGGCTTAGCAAATCTGTATACCTGTGGGTTTTTAGATGATATTTGAAGTGAGTTGGCCATACAAATGTTCGATCACAGCCTTCAACAGTGCACTGCAATTTTTTTTCTACCCGCGGTAGGTGAGGAATGGGGCTGGATTCCTTCGGCTGTGATTCTCCTGAACAAACATGAACATTTTCTCCTGGAAAGAAAAATCCTACAATTAGACAACAATACCTACAAATAAAAAACATTGAGTGATGCAAGCCTGTAAAATTAGATATATTTCGTAACACCAAGTAACACCAAGTCACTACTAATATATTTCTAGTTAATAACATTCTATTTTTTAAAGAATTGTAACATTTGCTATAAAAGTTATTTTCAAAAGGAGTGCTACAAATAAATATTAATAAAAAAAATAAACATGACTGATCATTCTACGGAAAGTATCTTGAACTGCTTTAATTTGTATCTTTGCAAAGAGAGTAATAAAAATAACAATTTACCATTATTGCTTGCTTTGGCATTCTTAGCGAGCTGTGCTCGGGTGGCAGCTATCAAGCTATCATGAGCCAGTTCTTGTACTCGTAAAAACCATGGGGTACTGCTGTCTGTGCTATTATTCGCAAAGAAATTGTTCCCAGAATCGACTGCTCCATCCTGGACAAATACCAGATGATCTGAAGAAGACCCTAAGCCTAGAGAAGAAGTTATCTTAAGTAATGAACAAGATAAGCCAAACTACTTGTTAGCATTTAGACTTATATACTACTCCACAGTGCTTTATGTGAAAAAACTTCACCATACTTTTCAAAGCAGTGAATCTCAAATATCACATCTTGTTTCTTAATAGTAGAAACTGATCTATCTACATGGAAATTACCTGTCCGTGTTAAATTGAGGAGAATAAAGGAAGTGTTATCACCAGGCTGAAGATCTTGCAACAAGGTAGAAGTATCAGGACTTGGAAGAAGGTCAGGTGGTTTCTGTACGGTTTGTGCCCTTGTCTCCTCACCATCAGGGCCAACATTTACTTGGAGACTTCGCAGAACCGCCGAAGAAGAAGCATGCTTGGAAGAGTGAATGTGGTTTGGTGAATCATCTGAAAGTTTAAAAAGCATCTAACTTAGAGCCATCAGTACATTTATTATAAAATCAATGTTAAAGCCAGTGTCCTTTGGATACACACACTATTAATTACGTTAAAATATGCCAGAATTATCTCTTATGACATATGCATCTTATTTATCAAATTTCTACATTTCAACAGGCTCTCAGAGGCTTAGATACGATCAAGCAAAAATACTGAGATACAAGTCATTAAAAACCATAAAACATACAATACCAATATGAAAACATATCATGAACCAAATACCGTCCAGAAGAATTTGGTCCCCACCATTTATGAAACATGGCCAACAGAGAGATCTAATTTCATGCAGGAGAATATTATAGGGGCCACTACTAGCAGCAGCAAGAAATGTTTTGAGCATCGGCCTCCCTTTCTACTTCTCCTAACAGAATTATAACACTTGAGCCAGATCCTGAAAAGCAATGCACTCCTGGCATCAAGCCATAAAGGTCTTCAAAGGTTAATATTAGCATTTTAAATTGTACTAAGAGTTACAGCCACCAACACAGGGCTTGGAATACAGCTGTCTCTGGGTAATACTGATAACACTGTTCTAACTGAAGCTTCCTATGATTCTTAAAGTCAGTGCCATTGCAGTAATCTAGACATAAGGTAATAAAGGCGTGAGTTACAGTCACAAGCTCCTCTTATCCAAGGAAAGCCAGGACTGATGCATTATTCAAAGCTGGACTACAGTACCCCCCCGCTTTCAAAAAATGCTCCATCTGCTGCTATAGCAATTGCCACATGTCCATGAGGATCCCAAAGTCATGGGCCAGTCATCAATTATCACTGGAGTCAGAAGAAAACCCCAAGGTGCAAACAACACCTCCATTTTGCTAGACTTCAATTTCAACTTGTTCTCTCTCACACAGACACTCACAGCCTCCAGATGCTGAGGCAGGATTTCAGTGGCATCCTCAGCAGAACCTGGACTTGTGATGAGAAGTAAAATATAATTGGCATACTGGACCTCAAGCCACCAGAGGATCTCTCCAACAGCTTCTTGTAGATCTTACCATTCAATTTCCACATGTAAAGCATATTACCAAAATGTGTTGCACCAAACATTCTAGTCACAACAAATTTCTTCAAAACGACTGTATCCTCCAAAGGTATGATATTATACACAGTATTAATTTTACAAAAACATAATATAAAATAATTTTAGAATTTGTCAGATTTCAGCTTTTACCTGGCAATATCAACCTGTTGCATTGTGGGGATTCTGTAATGGGAAGAAGAGATAGACAGGTAATATTTTTAGGTTCTGATTCCACAAGCCCCTGTCCTAGTGGGATAGATGTGTTCTGAACAAACTGAACCAGCAACTGAAAAAACAATACAAAACAAAGATGTTAAGGCAGAAGTAAATAAGGCAATAACATGTTTTTATATAATACTACCTCTCTTGTTCATCAATGTTAATTGCAAAAAATAGTGAAACAGGAATCCTTTATCAAGTATACCTGCATAAAATTACTTCATAAAGACAACAAAATATAACATTTAATCATTCAAAGATGAACCAATATAAAAATACGTAAATTCTACACATGGCAGTATTAACTATTAAAATTCTGAAATTTTACTGTTCTATTAAACAATGCATGTTATCTCATATATAACAGCAGTAGATATTGCAAGTCTTGTTCCCTGGCTGTATTTACTACCAATATTACTTTTTGATTGTGTAAGAACCACTCCTGAATTTTAATGAACAGCTGCAGTAGACAATGCAATCTACATGACTTACCCAATAATTTTTGTGGGATTGTAGTCATAATGCAGTCCAAATTACATGTGATGTGCTTAAGTAGTATATCATTAAAAAAACAAATATCAGCTATGGAGAGCCCACTAAACATTAGCAAGAAGGAAGGTTTTTTTCTACTTGCAGTGCAGATCATAGAAATATAGAAGCGACTATATACTGAATCAAATTCAATACTGCTAACAGTTACTAGCAATAGCTCCTCAAGAGTACACACAGATATACTTGCAACACAACAGAAAGAAAATATCAGCATCTTAATTAGTTTGATCTCAATCACAACAATAGAAACCTTCCCTTAATCTGATATTTGGCATGGAAGGGATGATGCTACAGACATTCATACCAACTAGCAATTTTGTAGAAGGGAGTATTAGAGCATAGGAGGAATTTTGCTGCAAAGACAATATGTTAAACTATATATTTAATATATGTAATTGGACAAAACATAAAAAGTTGAACCAAGACATTTACTAGTGTTTTGGAAGAAAGCCTACAGAACACAATTCAAGTACCTGCCTTTCTATTAACTTCCTATTTTTTATTTCTTATAAAAACATTTTATTTCTTTATAACATCCCTTAGCAGTAATTGTAAAAACTAATAACTCAATTCTCAGTACTTGTCCAAATATTATCCTCGTACATATTAAGGAAGAATTCATAATACAAGAGTTTTAACACCTTGCCTTCAGCACTGAACATTTTAACATAACATATGTTTTACAGAACACAATGTGTATGTTTTACAGTATGTATTTTCAAGCTCCTTTCTACAAGACCCAGCACATACTGTTAATAGTTTCTGAAACTTTTAATGCAACCATTTTGCCAAAATGCCAGTTCATTAGTCAAGTTCTATAGACAAAAAATAACCCATGGAAAGAAAAGTACTTTGCATCTGGCACGAAGAGCAACTTTCTAATAAAGGTCTGATGTATAATTCTACATAAATTTATTTAGGGTTTTTCCCCATTATATTCTTTGGAGATTATTCCTAAGTAAATGTACTATACTGACTTCTTATATCAACATACTTTCAAATGACACTTTATAGATCTACAGTAGTTGGTTGAATAATGTTGGAGTATAATACTGTACAAACATGTAAAGTATATCAATGACCAGGAATGCAAATCTGGTGCTAACCTCTGGTTTAGACTCTAACTCATCTGATAACATCGATTCAAGTTTCCAACTCCAAAAGTAGATCTAGGTAAGGCATATGTTTAGGAGGTCAACACGAACAGTTTACACTGTATTTATACATATATTCCAGCCTCACAGGCTAGTAAGGGTCATCTTAACAGAGAAGATAACAGAGTGTGATTCAATATAATCTGAAAAAAGAAGAAACATTAACTAATTATGCAACAGTTATATAGTACTCCATTATAGTATAATAAATTATAAAGCATAAACATGTACATTTTGCATAACTGCACTGGTTTTCTTATTATAAATCTGTATCTATTTCTACACTGCACACTTTTAAGTAGAATCAAGATAAAGACCCAGATAAAGACCCAGATAAAGTTCCTCTCCCACAGATAAATATTTTCTGTACAATGGCTCACTGTAGGATTTTGAGTACATTTACTCCTACCTACTTTACAAAATAGTCATCTTTAAGGGGTTAGAGTTTTTTTCTGGAAACTAAAACCTGGAAACCAAATATTAAAAAACAGCTTTTAAGATACTAAAGTTCATTCTCCCTTGTTTCCAATTTATAGTTGGAAACTATAGTCTTATCAGTATGAAATCACAGTTTTCTATATTTAAAACTATGCTACAACCATTCAAGGACTACCAACTATCTTCAGTTAAGTTCTCTGCATGTCACTACTAATAAAGAATATTGCTAGGCTTAAGATGGCCTCAGTAAAATGCCACTTTTGATTGAAGTGCCATGGTAATGATTCCACTTTATCTACTGTTTCCCTCTCCCTTTCACTATATTACAATTCATTACACTACCATACACATCTACAGATCTAACATTAAAACCTGGATCACAAAATAAAATTGTAACCGTATAACTGGATGAGAGAACAAAGGACTGAGTTTGATTACTAATTGTAGCAAATATCACCCACAATTTTTATAAAGCAGAGAATTACTGAAAGAATCCTGGGCAGATTTAATGGGTACAGGATAATATACTTTTATTAAATACTAGAACTCTAAAAGATCTAAAAGCAATCAGATGCAAATCCCCCACAACTTGGCATTAAATAATTTTGAGATTTCAGGTGCCAGAACTATTCACAATCCTTCCAATCCTGATTGTACAAGGTTTATTCATTTTGGCAACCTAGTTGGGAAGAGGTGGTTCGGAAAGGATGGGTACCGTTTTGCTATTTTAAATCCGAAGTATGACATTTTTGATGATCCACTACAAACTGCACATTCAGTTCTTCTTTCTGCCTGTGTCCTCCTTGCTCCTTAACCACAAAGGGAACGAAGTTTGTTTTAAGCTTACTTATCTGTGGCCTTTGTATGAATGGCCTCATCTTTCATAGGTCTCCCAACCACTGACAGATCATAAACGCTTTGGGAAATTAGTCTGACCTTTTCTTTATACAAAGCAAGACAACTCCAGGCCAAAGTTATATAGGTCGTCGCTATCCTCGGGGATTTCAAAGCAGGTTACGCCCTAGACCTTTTTTGACTGAACAGTTGTAGGCGATTCCTACAAAGGCGCACTTCAGGAACTGCCAAACAGGTCCCGACACTCAATCCCCAGCAAAACGCTGGCGGCATTGTCAGTTACTAGGCCAGCTTGAGAACTCGGCGGCAGCCGGTCCACAAAAGGGGCCAAATCCACCCCGTACGTACGGTCAAGATAAACTCGGTGGGCGCTGGGAGGCGAGAGAGAGTGACCTTCCTCGAGTCTGGTCTCTTACGGCAAGGCCAAGGCCGGCGAGGCCTCTACCACAACACGGAGGCCAGCGAAGGAAGAGCGGCTTCTCCCAAGGCTGGATTCCCCGGAAGAAAAGGGAGAGGAACGGGGCCGCTGCCGTGAGAGCGTTCCCCCTGCGGCTGTTTTCTCTCGTCCTTTCTCTCCGTGCCGGGAAAGACGCGAGGGAGGGAGCTTAAACTCTCGCCTTTTCCCGGGACAATCGTTTCTTACCGGCATCTCAGGACCGTCCGGATGTGACGTGTGCAGTTACCGGAAATTCCAGCGTCCGCTCTAGGACAAACCATAGAGTGGGGGGGAAAATCTTCGAGCACAAAGGTCTTCAAACTTGGCAAGTTTAAGACTTGTGGGCTAACTCCCAGAATTCCTGAGCTAACATGACTGGAGGAGGAATTCTGGGAGTTGAAGTCCACAAATCTTAAAGCTGACAAGGTTGAAGACCGCTGGTCTAACACCTCTGATGCGCAGACTGAACTAAACGACTCATGGTTGAAAAATTATTAGATCAATTTCTGTGCATTGCCTACTTCCGGGTCTTATTGAAGTGCCTTAGCTGGCGCGGGAGATGGAATGGAAAAAGCAGAGATCAACTTTAGAGACAAGGTAGTAACACCCAGGATCCCGCGTAGATTCTGCTGCAGCTCTCCAGAAATGAAAAACAAAGGAGTCGTGCCCTGCATGATGTGTGCCCATTGCCAGTGATGTATTAACCATTAAGCAGACAAGCACATGCTTAAGGCACCAGGCCCAAAGGGGCACCACAAAGTTGAGAATATGGTTTCGTTTGTACAGTATGTGCAAAGGAGGGGGCACCAAGATTTGTCAGTGCTTAGGGCACCAGTGAGCCTTAATCCGCCACTGCCCATTGCATTACGTTTGACTCTCCGCAAAATCAGTTTAGAACCGGAAGTATTAATTAAATCTGCGCTTTATTTAAAAAAAAAAGATGGATTTAGATGGCTGAGTTGATGGCAGAGATTTCTTCATGCCAAGTTTTGCCTGATTTTTCTGACACATTGATCAGAAGTATATTTGCGGGGTGCAGTTATTGATGTTTTGAATCTACATACTTAGTATATAATGCTATGAGGAAATTTGGGGATAATTCCTTTCTACGGATCTTATTTGTAACTGGCCTCCGGACTAGACATATCAGCGGAGCATAGTTATCTCCTACAGCACTGGGCCTTATATTTGTTGCCTTTCTTTTCTTCCGTCTATATTTTCTACTGAACAAGCACATAGATCAAAATGTGAGAATAACATTTTACTGCATCTTATAAAGAGGGGTCTGAGCTACCTACACATCTTCCTTTAGCAACAAATGATTTCAGAATTTGTCAAAATCATGCAGCATATAAAGCATGACTTTATATGAATTCTGTTGAATATAAGAAGCATGTTATTCTGAACAAGTTAGTCAAATATAATTTGAAAATATCTGTCATCAATACTATTTTTTTTCCATTAGAAGTTAGGGTACCTAAGTGAATTTAACAAATCTTTAAAATAGTAATTAAATAAAGCCAGCTTTTGCATATATTTAATCAGTTAGAGAAGTGGCTTGTTTATTTTCATGCAAAACAATAATACATATTCATGGAGAAGCTAAATTCTTGTAAAGTGAGTTAGCAAATCAAAATGGAACAATCCCAATCTTTTGCTATATTTAGCAATGTGATACTGTTGGGAGCAAATATTCAGATCATTCCATCACATAACAATGAAAGATAGTACGGACAATTTGTAATTTTGTAAAACAAACTGCTTTCCCTGATATTGGTAACATCTTATGTTTCGTCTTTCCCTTGGGAAAAGATCACCAGTCTGCTCTTAAATAATTATCTCTATTCATTCCTGCCAGATGTCTGTCTGTCCCAAAGTAATGGCACCAGCATGAAACAAAGCAGGTATTTAGCTTGCACTTCACTTTTCTATATATGAAACTGAAAACAGAATGAAGAAAAAGCACTAGCAAAGGTGAAACTGGCAAAGCTATTGTGAAATCACCTGATATTTTTTAAAACTTTATCTTGTAGTTTGCTAACTTGTTTGGCTCTTTGTTTATCCAATGTCATGACTCATAGTTGGGAATCCCAATACATTCCAAAAAGAAACCATGTTTTGTGACTCAACAGATACTGGCAAGTAAATACTTCTCACCTTTTCTATTACTTTTTTTCCAGCTGGGAAACAGAAAGCTACACAATCAAATATAGTAGGTTAGGCTTGTTCTAAGAAACTTGTTAGACATGTCCATAAATTAAATTAAGTTCAAGAATTTAAACAGTCCTGAGAAAGTCCAATATTACTCCCTGCAAGGACCCAGGTGGTCTAGGGTTCTACTATCACAAGCAGCTCCAATTCGTTGTCATTCTGCATAGAAAGTAATTGTATGACAGAGATTGGACCTGACCATACTTTTGCCCCTCACTTCCAGATTTCCCTCACAAAACAAAATTATCATCTACTGACAAAGTCTTTTTGGCTATGAGAAAAATGCAATACTTCTATCACAATATATCTTTTTAGTAAACCAATTCAGAGTTCGCCAAAATAATGTTTCGTTTTAACAACTTAGCCTCAAGTAATTTGAGCATCGGGAAAAGGTGTCGTATTATTGGGCAATTTCTGCCTATTTGGCTTTTACAAGCATTTTCATTTTTCTTCACAGAACATTTTTCATTTTCCCCCTTTATATCATTTCCTCCTTCTCCCATTCGAGAGAAATTCCTTTTCCTTTGCTAAGGAGGCTGCTTGAGCTCGGCCCACCGAGCCTAGATGATTAAGCTGAGCGACGAGCCACACCGCCTCCTCCCCCACACCCCACACCCCTTGTCCTTCAGTTGTGCTGAGTCATAAAAGCAACAGCACCCGGCTATCCCCGCCTACTGGATACGTTTTGGTATGCTCCGCCTATCCCTCTTCTTCTCTCGCCCTTCCTCCACTCCCAGGGCGTTCATGCATTCATCCGATCATGCCGCCACCCTCATCCGGAATACGATGGTACGACCCAGGCTCCCCCTGCGGCCGAGTGCGGTGGTAGGCTCCGGCGGTAGCAGAGTCCCGTCCGGTCCCGCCCCGCCTCCCTCCGCCTTGTCATTGATGTTGTTGTTTTTGTCGCAGGAGCCGGAGGGAAGGCCGGGGCCGGGGCCGGGCTTTGGGCTGCGGCCGCCGGCGGCTGGGCCGGCGATGTCGTCGGTGTGCGGGGGGTCGGTGGGCGCCGGCTCCTTGCCCAGCGAGTTGGTGGTTCACATCTTCTCGTTCCTGGCGGCCCCCGACCGACTTCGGGCCTCAGCCGCCTGCTCGCACTGGCGCGAGTGCCTCTTCTACCCGGCGCTGTGGCCCCGGCTGCGCCTCAGCTTGCGCGTCTGCCCGGCGGAGCGGCCGCGCCTCGACTTCTTGATGCGCAAGTGCGGCTGGTTCGTGCGCGAACTCCGCGTCCAGTTTGCCGCTGACAATTATCCCAGCGGCGGCGGCGGCGGCGGAAGCGCGAGTGGGGTCTGCCAAGAAACGGCGGCGGTAACGGCGGCGGTGGCCGAGGGGGAAGCGCCGCTCTGCCCTCGCTGGCTGGAGCTCTTGAGGACATACCTGGAGCTCGTGCTCTGCGTATTAAGCAGCGTCCGCAACAACAGGTAGGCGCTGACCCCCACCCCCACGAGGGGCTCTGGGTGGGTGGGGAACAAAGGAGGAGGCGGCCGGGTTTCCCCCACCCCCCCATTTCCACTACCCAAACTTTTTGCCCGCAAGGTTTCCTTAGGGTCGCGGAAAAGTTCTCGGATGGAGTTCAGACTACGGAGAAAAGCCACTTGTTCAGAGTGCCTGCCTCTCGCCCAACGGAGCGAGCAGGAAGCGAGGGGAGGGGAGCGTGTGGCTGGCTTCACTAGGGAAACCCGACGTGAAAGAACACTGGGAAAGGAACACTCGTAGCATGTCGCCAACTGCAGGCGAGATCTCTGCTTGAAACGAGCGAGCTTTGCCTGCTGCTCCTTTTGCTGGGAACTTCAAGTACTGTTGGGGAAGAAGGAGGGTCTTCTCCTTCTATCTTTGATGGGTCGTCTTTAAAAAAAACACGAGGGGCTTCTTTGGACACCCTTCTCTATAAGGTGCCACCGGCTTTGATTGAATGGATTGTTACGCTGAGATTTGATCGATCATCATCGTCGGTATTTTAAAATACCTTCCTTTAAAAAAAAAAAAGTGTCCAATACTAATGGAAGCCAGCATCGGAACAAGTGGACTTATGGGCTGAAAAACGTGAGGTAGTGCGTTGGTTAAGTATTTATGAATATTTATGCACTACCTCCTGTTTTTAGCCAAACGAAATCCTTCAAAACTGGAGAAAGTGGCTTGAAAGTCTCCATTTTAGTACAATTTCCAGATTAGTCACTGCAGACATCCTTTAAAGTCTCTTACGTTTTATTTATGTACTGTGTTTAATTTAGAGGCTGTCTAACTACAAACAATTCACACAACTCAAATAAATGTCCCGTGGAGAACTAACAAACATAGCAGCAAAATAACTACAAAGTACTGCAGCCACCTGAAGCCTGGGAGAACAGCCAGGTTTTCAAAGGCTTTGGAACATTATTAGAGTGTAAGCTATATGCATCTTGGGAGGGTTGGTGGTAATATACCAGAAGGAAGTGGCTCAACGTTTAGCTTACATAAGATGAGAGCTTTTTAAAAGGAAAACCATATCCTATATGATTTAGTAAAGCATAAGCTCGCTTAGGCATTTGTTTTGTGTTCATCAAGGAATTCATCAAAGAACTCTTTAAGATTTCTAATCTTTCAAGGTCGTAACAAAGGATCCAGTTATAAAGGCTGTTAACCTATCTTCTTCTTTCCATCTATATTTTCATTGCTGCTATATCTCCCTACTTCACCACAAATTAAAATGTCCTTTCAGTAAGCTTTTCTTCTTCGTGCTGTGCTTTGTCCCATTTTTCTGTTGGAGATAAAATAAAATCTATTTTGCATAATTAATTAATTAATTTCTGCCTTGGAAATGTAAGTCAATTATGTTACTACATTTTCCTTGGATTTTATATTTCCTAAATAAAATAAGTGGCATAATTGAACTAATAAATAGGAGACAGCTCTGAATCATACATTTCTAGCTTTATAGCTCAAGCCTTTTAGGTACTGTGATGCAATAGCTTTTGTCACAAGAGATCATTAGATTTATCTGTAGTGCAACATTTAAGAGTGAGTCAGGAATATGTGCTCATAGCCCACCAAATTACCCATAGTTTTACCATCGGTTTTTTGCGGCTGCTTCACATTTTTATTTTATTGTGAAAAAGCTACAGTAAAACCACTCAATTCTAGAGTGAATGCATAAAATGAAGAAATCAAAAGAAGGAAAGGTGGAGAAGACCACCAATAATAGTAAGCTGTCATAAGCAATGCATATAATAATCTTGCAATAAAACCTATACAAGTTGAGGATCTAAATTAAAAAGGTTCATTAGGCTAATCAAGCCACTATATTGGGATAAATAATTTGACAAAAATTCCCAGGTCTTTGCTGCAAGTAGAAAAACAAAAGAATATATATAGGGTTTTTTGCTGAGAACTGCTATACCCATAAAACTATTACAGGGCTCATTTGTATCTCATGATTAACCTTGGTTATTAGCTATGTATCTCTTCATGTGTGAAGTTGATCTCTTCGGGTCATGTTTGTTTGGAACATGCTTCCAACATTATTGAAATAGCCTTGTCATAGGCAAAAAGATTAGTCTATCAAATTCACACACCATTAATTCTGCTGCAATTAAGATTACAGGGCAATCTTTGCTGCAGACAGATTGTAAATGCCATCAGATACAGCAAATAGGAGTCTAATAATGGATAAATGGTATTATTAGCCATATATACTTATGCAGTAATAAGTTGATTGCTTTATCTTTTTTAAAATGCTGTAAGTTTTACAAAGCATAAAAAGTACTAGTTTTATTAGAAAAATAGTGAAGTGTCTACTGACAAATTTTAAGAATCTTTGTAGCCCTCTTCAAGTTTCACAGAGATATATTTACCTTCACAAATACAACACAAATGTATTTCTAAAACCCAGAAATTTAAAAGGAGGGAGGGTAAAGAATCTCAGGTCTAAAGTTCGAAAAATAAATAGTTGATGGGGGAATATTGCATACAGTCAATTTCATATTTTGTATTTGAAATTTTCTCTTTTTAAAGCTGCTTTTTCCTTATAGAAAGGCGAGATCAGGCCTTTTGTTTATAATGTACACTTATGCCCAAAGGTAACTAAACAAAGTTTTCTAGGCTATGTAGTGAACAAAAGAAATGTTGGCTTTAACTAATAAACAAACACATAATTCAGGTATCTAATAAGTACAAAGAGATGATTTAATAAATCCTGAAAATAAGTTTGACTTTTAATTCTTTCTGTGAAATAAGAAATTAACACTCCCCGCTATGTATGCCTATTTCAAGTGGCTTTAATCTCCTACTCTTATTATAGGTAATTTATTGAGTAAAAACATAACCATGAAAACTTTGTTCTGCAACAACAATCAGCATGGTTGTACTATTAATGAGAAAAATCCTGTGGAATGTGATAAGATTGCACCATATTAAAAGTGATGGGATTGAAAAGATTTAGCCTTATTTATGTTTGAAGATAGTAGATTAATGAGAAAAAAATGAATTTCAATAACTAGAATCAGGCTGCAGTATAACAAAATTGACAAGTAAAGGGGGTCTGAATACTTTCTGAATATACACTGTATATTGCATAAATATAAAGAGTAGATGAATGTCTGGTTAAAATGGTTTTCTCTCTGCTGCTTTCCTTTCTCTCTTTCTCTTTCTTTTCCCCTCTCTCTTTCACTTTCACTTTCTCTTCCCGAATGCTTCATCTACGTCTCTTTACCTACTTCACAAGCAGTTTTACTGGATTTCAATCATTACTACACCTATTTTTACAGCTACAAAAATGATTAGATCACAGTGTATACTATAAGTGATGGACCATATTTAATAACTCAGAAGATCTCAATAAAAAAGCATAGATTGTTTAAAAAAAGCTTAAAATAATTTGTTAATTATTAAATAATTAGTGTCAAAAGTATAAATAAATTATAGTTATTGACAAGGAACAATCTCACTAGTTATACATTTTAAAAAATTGCACAAGAAATAACACTTGGAGACCAAAAATCAAATCCAGATTACAAACATAATCAACTGATTCTTAATGTAATTTCAACTCACCTATCCAGATATTTACTTATAATCCCAAGATCTATCAATAGAAAAGAAGCTTTCACAGAACCTTCCTCTGGTTATGTGCCAAAATAATTGATTTTTTTACAGAAGCCAAGTTACAAGGGAATCTAGTGAGCAACTAAAGTGTGTGGAGAAGGGGCTCTCCCAAAATGTGCCAATTGTGTTAGAGGAAAAAGGATGAAAGTAAATCAGTTAGCCCTTTTCTGTCATTGCTTTACTAAAAATCTAGTTCCTGTTAGAAAACATAGACCCAAGAATTAACAGACTATATTTAATTTTTTATATTAAAAAACAGAGCAGAATTAATTTGGTGGAAGAGTTCAGACAAAATGAAATAGAACTTCAAGAAGTTCCATATATTGCTATAATGTTTAGATATATTCCTTATCTTAAATAGGAAATAATTCTTAATTCTGCTGTTAATATCCAACATTTTTAAAAGTTGCTTTTGAGTCAAGAGTATTTTTATAACTGATGTTTAATTAGCATATTCTATGTCTCAGGATTTAAAAACATTCTGCATTCACATAATCTAACTCCCAGTTTCTTACTCCTGTTACCTTAGGGACTGCAGAATTCTGGGTATGGTGTGATCTGAAATTAGCCTAATATGCCTTGAGTGGCATTTTTATACATTTTACTAGAAGTAAGTCCTGCTGAGGTTTTTGGAATTATGTCTGAAATAAATAACACATACACACATACACTATTGTGGTCTAGCTAATAACCTACCATGCCAGTGCACAATTACATCTTCTATCAGACTGGAAGAGTATGGTAAATTATGTGCATTAAACTAAAGCATTTTGTATCTTGGGATATTTTAGAATTACCATATACAGGCAAGTGAATCTATTTTAATCTATTATAACATTCTTAACTCTTTAATATTATAGTCAGGATACATGATTCCCTGTGGATTAATTTTTACAGTACTAATCCTTAACAATAAAGAAAACGTAATTAAAGTAAGAAAATTCCTGTTAATTTTTGAAAATTAAAATAGCTAAGGAATTGAGATCATTTTTTCTATGCTTGTCTTCATTACTATTTCTGTTTGTGTGTCAGTTTTGTCCATTGCTATTATATTTCTGCTTGGAATTTTTTTCAGATTTTGAAGAAAGCAAGTTTGGGAAAAATAATAAATCTCTGCCATCATATACAATAAATCTCCACTAGTTGTGAAAGCTTGCTACCATACATACATAATATCTTCCACACACAATCCCTGGCCCAAATGAGGAAAACAATGTTTTGTATTTACAAGAAAGAAAGAAAGAAAGAGTTATCAGGATTACCGATAGTTTCTGGCTTCCTTAGACAATTTTCATATATTGCCTCCTGTCATCATTATTAATTTTGCTAAAGAGCTGTATAC